GCATGATTTTTTGTTGTAATTTTATTTTGCTATTTTAGAAAGCTAATATAATTTAAAATGACAGTAATCAAGATATTATAGGGCTCACAAAGCTAATTGAATAATAGTTTTAGTATCCACTGTGATGTGGAGTATGATGTGAATACTTGATAATGAAGATTTAATTCTATTGTGTTAAAAGATTTCTGAGATTCCTTATATAATTCTAGGTTAGTGCAGCCAAAAAACCCTATGAATAGCTCTGGAATATGATATAACAAAACACTAATATAGTTAATAAACTTCAACTCTATTCTCCTCATTATCACACTCGTACAATAAGAAAAAGTTATTTTCATACTTGTGACTTACTTTTACTAAAGTTAAATCTGCAGTACTTCGTACTATTTATCGTATATTAACTGGGGATTCTTCGGCACTAGAATTTGTAAATAAAGCCAAAATAGATGAAAGAATTAGACTAGCTCTTGAATTAGATGATCTTGAAATTACAATTGATTTATGTGAATACAATCCTAAGAAACCAAGTAAATTTGATATTTTTTAGGAAATTGCAGCTGACTTTCTTTCAAAAAAAGCAGTGGAATTTGTAACTGTGGTCGACGAATGTTGACATGACACAATCGTCTACTTAGCAACAGCAATTTTAATTAATGATTTATTAAATCAAATCAAGAATAAATGTTTCCAAAATACACCAATTCCAAGTATATAATAGCTTCGTTTATAATTATAACCTAAAAACCTAACACGACTTAATAGTTTGCAATATACTGGACGCCTACTTTTAAAATTTATAGTACAAGCAGTATTATCTATCAATTTAACTTTTAGATACTAACTAATCAATTTCAATTAATCGATTAGTTGGTATCTAAAAGTTCAATCAGGCCTAGGTCGAAATCCTAAAAAGATTTCGACCTAAACACAGTTTAATTAATTAATTGCTAACAATTAATCAATTGAAAATTTTTTGATAATTTGTAACACTAGATACAAGTTCAGCAGCTTCATACCTATCATTCTGATGCATATTACGCTTCAGTATTGTTTAGGTATAAAAAAGAATTTGTTACAAAATTTCATGAAATTACAATATTAGTATTTTTAGATAACAAACATAGGTGTAAAGTTGGAGAACCCAAGTATCCAGTTGCTGCTATAGAGAGAGGTAAGCAAGTTGTAGTTAGTAAAAAATCAACATTGATGGTTAGAGATTATGACTATACAAAGTCTGAAATAATACCAAGTATTATAATGATATGTAATATTCTGAAGTCAGTTGATGGTGATTTTTATATGGGAGATATTCATATTGGATTAAAAAATGCTATTTTTCAACCTTCCTCACCAATACGCTATGCAGTTGAATTATACAATATCTTCATAAAAAAAAATATTACTAATAAACCTGTCTTATATCTTTATACAGATGGTGGCCTAAACCATCATTGTATATTTACTAGTGTACAACTGTTATATTTTTGCTTATTTCTAGCTTTAGATCTAGACTATTTCATTGCTGTAAGAACACTACCTCAATACTCGTGGAAAAATTCAGTAGAACATATAATGTCTATCTTAAATCTTAGGCTTTAATATATTAGTTTAATAACAGGTAAAATGAGTGATAATTTAGAAAAATTAATCAGTAAAGCAAATACAATAAAAGCAATTTGACATTTGGCAGAAA